CGCAGCACCAGGCATATCATTCTTCCCAAGCCGCCAATGCGAAGGATACCCACGTCCTCCTGCAATATTTAGTGCATTATTCCATAATCCTTGCGGAGGACAAAAGGTCCGCCACGTGTGAAGCATGCGACGACGAGGAACGTATCCAGGTGGGGACTTACCGTACGTGACATATCGCGACGTGAGGCACTCCTATTCCATCAACTCCTTTATCGGGAACTCGCCGGAGTCCTCTCCACGACGGAATACTAAGACTGCCATGTCGAAGCCCGTCACGCAGGGCCTCTCGTTTATGAAATTTGACAGGATGCAGTATTAAGCTTAGTTCAAGCCCGTTGTTTCCAGAACTGCATGTGATCGCAGTGTAGGATGAGACATGTCGCAGACAAGAGATACTAGAGACATCCTCCGTAGTTCCTGGAGAGGTCGGATGCGTGACGTCTGCCTTGTGGATGCATTCAGATCTACGGGCCTGAAGGTTGAGTACGAGAGTAATGGTCCCTTTTACGCCATCGCCGATGGCCGTCGAATCCTATCCAGTATAGGGCTGCTAGACCGCATAACGACAGAGCCGCATGATCACAAGATAGCAATCATATAATTGCGATATGTTTCTTGAAGGTACACCATCGACGTGGCGGAGATCTCGCAAGTACATGAACCCGGTCGCTACATCCTGTTCGCCGCCGGACATTTTACAGTGATGCGGGTGTTGAGTTCCAGTTGCTCTCTGATCAGCTTGAATCACCGCTGCCACGATTACATCCAAATTGATCCCTCTCAGTGCGACTTCACACAATTCCAAGCAGTGATGAAAAATACTCCGGGTACATCCACACGGTCTTGTGGCAAAGATTTCCTTGGTGGCGCAGTGTCTCAGCAGCAGACCTTGCAAAGTGATGGAGCCTTTTTCTTTATCTTGCTTTGCGTATATACAATAACAATACTGTGCACACGACGATGTCATACTCTGCTTGGAGCATCCGTAGCTGAGGTCTCATCTCAGATGGACGTCGCCAACCCTGCGGATGAAGGTCAGCCGAGCTGTCTGTTCGATTCAATGCTATGTTTAGGTAGACGTCGATCGGCAACCGATGAGTGCCGTCACAATAACAATGTCTGTCAGGCGCAGAAGCATTCGGCACAGCTGAGGGCGCCTCCATGGACGTGGACGAAGCTGTACGGGGTGTGGGTGGCCTGGCTATCCATATTTGTTTTGCCTTGTTCCTGCAGTTCCTGCATGTGTACAATATATTTGCTGTAAGTGCAGAGAACGGTTCGATCAGGTGGATGGCCTGCCGGTCTGGAAGATGTGGCCGGTTGTGTCCTGCTCGAACCCCCCCGAGATCCTGTATTCCAGGTACCAGCAGAACATGGGACGGAGATTACGCCCGGTCTGTCGTCGTGCACAGAGCTGGCATGCGTCAATTCCTGTAGACGTGATGCCCATCTCCGTTTCGAATCTGATGGACACCGCTATTTTTATGATGGGATCACAGTTGCATGCAGTGTCGCTCGGATGCACTGGAACATGTATGCAAGCGAACTATTCTGAGATTAGCGAAGCGTCTGTGACATAAGGTAACCGGACTTATTCATCGGTATTCGGAGGACTTCGAGGCGGATGTTGCACTGACGAAGATGAAGTCAGGGAAGAATTGGCCTCGAACCGAGTACATCAAGCCGTCCGCCAGTCTACCATCCATTGCGAATATGCTTATGGGGTTGGACTTTCACTACCAGGCAGATCTGGTCCATCTCCTGCGTCAAAGCATTCCTGATGCGTCAGAGATGTGTCGTCTCTTCGCTCTTAGCAGATCAGATGGGGACGGATGGGACGACATCATCCGCGAACTCACCATGTCCGATGATGAGATCCTACTCAGCTGGAACGTTAGACGACAAACTGCCGCGAACTCAGGAACGTGGATGCACTCCACGCTTGAGTACATGCTCAATGGATACAAGATTAACCCCGGACCCATGTGGGGTGAGATGGAGGCTGTCATCAAATTCCTGTCCAATCTCGAAAACGTCGAGGTTTACCGAACAGAATGGTGCATCAGTGCGCCCGACGAGGATTTGGAAGGGTCTATCGACCTCGTCCTCAAGGACAAGGACAGCAATACTTTCCATCTAGTCGACTGGAAGCGGAGTGAAAAGCTCGAAGATAAGTACACCAGCCACGGCAAGAAGATGACTCCTCCGGCTCATGATGTGGACGATTGCCAAGGGCAGCACTATCGGCTACAACTCAACATCTACAAGTGGATCCTGGAGAGGTATTATGACACCCAAGTAGCCCAGATGAAGGTTGTCTGCGTACACCCACGCTATCTCCCTCATGGTTTCATCGATGAGGTGCCTGATACGCAAGACGTCGTCGAGAAGCAGATGCAGTGTTGTCGTGGCCAGAAGGCTGCGGCTTCTTTGCAGCAAAGGAATGATCGAGACGAAGATCCGAGGCAATCGCAGCAAGTATTGGATCGCCAGGCTGGAGATGAGCAGATGCAGTCCATGCGCGACAATTTGGATGATGTCCCGGACACCATGCCATTTGATGTCATGCTCACGGGACAAGCCCGTGAAAAAGACGAAATGGAGATCGCTTTGGAGGAGATCATGATGGAGGAGGACGAAACCGACGCACCCTTGCTCGCAAAGAAGAGAAGATTGATGTCACGCGCTGACACTCATGCACAGGATTGCAAGAGAATGTCCCAAAGATCATTGGACATCATCAAAACCACTCTGGATGGCTACGGAGCCGATGTTTGCTTGCAGCCTAACACCGTTATGCAAAACACTAGGAACATGCTGAGCATGCTTCAGATCAAGTATCCGTGGATGTCGGATCAGCTGCGACGGCTAATCATGATAGCCGCTCACACGTCTACCGGCAAGATCCATAACAAGCCTATGCTACCGGATGCCGCCGCTGTCACTTGCGTGGATGGTTGAGGGCGACCGTCATATGAGGGTTCACAAGGGCTTCCTCTTCGTGTACGATGACGACGGATGCTTCATGCCCTTCGGCGGGATCCCTCCGGAAGCCGTCTTACACCGCATCCACGACTTCTTTTGTTGCTTGGAGGGGTCTTCAGACGGATGAAGCCGGAAATCACCCGCGACGCGAACTCCGTAGCCGATGCCATTGCAGCTGACATGCAGAGTTGCGAAACGGAAGCGGAATATCTGACTCTTTGCAGAACCGCCACGAGTAGAAGATCGCAGGCACCTGCATATTCCCGGAGATTGGACGCCGAGGATGAAGGAGCTTCAAGACACGATCACGTCGCTCAAGACGCAGCCGATGATTGGACTTTGGAAATGGCATCTAGATCTTGGAAGGTCTCTTGCGTTGTCAAGCAGGAACTGATGCAGACAAGAATGATTTCTTTGCTCGTCGAATGGTGTGAAACTGAAGACAAGCGTTCATCAACTATCTGCTACGACGACATCTGTCTTGCATATGATCGTCCAGGCTGTGGTCTCCCAGTCGACGCTGTGAAGAAAGGTCCTCAGGATGACTGTTACGTGACGATCCCGCATCCCCTCTTAGATCCTGTCATGGAGGAGAATATGGAGAGACTTCAGTTGTTCTACGAGCGGACGTTTTGGTGTAACCTTCATGTTTTCAAGTGCTTCCAAGCCGCCATCGCTATCGCGAAGCGAGGGTTCCATGTTGATCGCTGCTTCATCGGCATCTCCCCTGGTGGCGTGGGACAGAGTCTCTATTCTCATCATTTGGCCGAGATGTACAAGCACAATCACAGTTACTTCGACCCGAACATTTGGCATCTCGATGAAGAACTACGAAAGCAGGTTGAATCCTTCGCCAAATGTTTTATACTCACAGGTCAAGAAGCGCCCGAGACAAGCAGAAAATTCCACATTGACCTGTACAAGAAAACAATCTCGGGAGACGGAATTATGGGCAGGAAACCATATGCTACAGCACCCGTATGTTCCAGATGATCGGGTGGACGCGGTTGGAAGTCAACAAGATGATGGCCTTCATCGGTGTGACGAACAACAACTTCAATTCAACGTTTCGACGGGCATTCGTCTGGAACGCCAAGGCCCGCTTCATCCACGAGAAGTTCCTGAGACACTACAAGGACCACGAGAAAGACGGCATTTTCAGAGCCGACCCTGGCCTGGCTAAGTTTCTTTCCACTTCTCAGGCATCCATCGCAGGGCTGAAGTTGCAGTGGGCCTTCGAAATCGACCATAACAAGGAAGATTGCTATCAGCTCATCGAGGATTACTGTAATGGTGGTGACGGTCACTTGACTGAGGACGTTATGAGGGAGGCGTGCGGCCTGCCTGTGCAAGTCCGTCAAGCGCAAGATGAGGATGGCTTGGGCAACCTCCTCGCAGCTGGACAAGACAGCGCAGATGAGCGAGATGAAAAAGACACTGAATGGGTCAACCTCCGAAACTACGTCACGAAGCACATGTTGGACAACCATCTGGACATCATGACTTGGTCCGAGTTCAAGAGGATCAGCTTCAAGCCTGATGAGCACCCGAATTTGTCGAAAGCGGGCTACCTGATAGATCCTTTGCGTGTAAATTTACATTTTACATTTTTTATTTTTTTACACGCTTTTGTAGTGTAAATTTGTCCCTGAAATTTACACTTTGTAGTGTAATTTTGGGTGTGTAAATTACACACCAAAAAGAAAATTATACACCCA